CCTCTCTCCCTTCCTTCCTTCCTTGAATTCCCAAGAATTCAAGGGAGTTTGGACTTTTTTCGCTTGTGGCTACGTAAGGATTCTACGCTGATTCCTCTTTTGACTCCATCCCCAGGTTCTGCCACTACTCCTACACATCTCATTCCCCATCTCCCTCCCTCCTCCCTCTCTCCCTCCTTCCTCTCTCCTTCCTTCCTTCCTTCCTTCCTTCCTTCCTTCCTTCCTTCCTTCCTTCCTCCCTCCCTCCCTTCTTCTCTTCAGTTCCCAGCACGCTGGCCAACCCACCAGGTGAAAGAAATGAGGTGGAGAGAGAAAGCCTAATAAAAAATAAAATCTTCTCTGCCAATCTGAGTCACCTTTGGAAGAGCTGGTGGCAACGGAGAGGAGAAGAGCCTTCAAACTTCAGGACTCCTTGGGTGGAGCAGCCTGCAATTAAAACTTTTAGTAGGTCACGGCAACCTAAGAGATACTTCCATTGGGTTGGTCCCTAACCTGTCATTAGGGAGAAAGGAGAAAGGACGATTGTTGGCTGAAGAGCCCTGGAGTCACATCAAGTGGCAAAGTGAAAACAAGAAGCGGTTGACTTAAGCAGCCCAGCGATGAGATCTTAATATCTTCTGACTTAGGGCCAAGTAAGACAACTGGGAAAGTCCAAGGGTGACAGCAACAACAACAACAACAACAAAAAAACAGGCTGTAGAAGACAAAAGAAAGGGTTGCATGGATGTCTTGCAAGACCTTCACTTGCAAGGACAGTTGAGTGTCCCACCCGCTGGACAAACTCATGATGGCCAACCAACGTCCTGAAGATGAAGGGTGCAGGCTGACACATCTGGATGGGACTCAAAGCCTTCACACACAACACAGGCTTTGAGCCATGAGGTCAGGATTCCCCTTGGTTCTCCCAGATTCAGGCAAGATTCAGTGCGGAGAAGAGCAACAAAGATGATCGCAGGGGGGGCTGGAGGCTAAAACGTGTAAAGAATTGGGTCTGTCTAGTTTAACAAAGAGAAGGACGAGGGGGGACAGGATAGCAGCGTTCCAGTATCTCAGGGGCAGCCCCAAAGAAGAGGGAGTCAAGCTATTCTCCAAAGCCCCTGAAGGCAGGACAAGAAGCAACGGATGGAAACTCATCAAGGAGAGAAACAACCTGGAACTAAGGAGAAACTTCCTGACAGTGAGAACAATTAACCAGTGGAACAACCTGCCTTCAGAAGTTGTGCTTGCATCATCACTAGAGGTTTTTAAGAAGAGACTAAATGACCATTTGTCTGGGATGCAATAAAGTCTCCTGCTTGAGCAGGGGGCTGGACTAGAAGACCTCCAAGATCTCTTCCAACTATTCTATTCTATTCTATTGCATTTTCTTTTCTTTTCTATTCTATTCTATTCTATTCTATTCTATTCTATTCTATTCTATTCTATTCTATTCTATTCCATTTTCTATTCTATTTTATTCCATTTTTATTCCATTTTTATTCCATATTCTATTCCATTCTGTTTTCTATTCCATTCTGTTTTCTATTCCATTTTCTATTCCATTTTCTATTCCATTTTCCATTCCATTCCATTCCAACATTTCCTTCAACCCTAGCAAGATGCAGCCACCAGGTTCTGCCAGGTGTCCTCCTCACTTTGTTGAATCCACAGCTGCACAACTCACTAAGAATAATTTAAACCACGGCTCTCCAAACTTACCAACTTTAAGACTGATGGACTTAAGAATTCTGGGACTTGAAGTCCACGAGTCTTAAAAGTTCCCGGTTTGGAGAACCTTGGTTTAAAGTAGCCCTACACCCTGTTCTCGACCCGACTGAGCTGGGAAGAAGGATGACAACATCCTGGATTAGAAACTGGCTTTAACTCCTATCCCAGGGCTGGGCAACCTTGGCTCTTTGATGACTCATGGACTCCAACTCCCAGAATTCCTGAGCCAGCCATGCTGAGGGGAAAGGGAGAGGTTTCCAAGCTGAGCCAGGCTGGCTGAGGAATTCTGGGAGTTGAAGTCCACAAGTCATGAGGGGGCCACAGTTGCCCCATACTGGCTCAGGAATTCTGGGAGTTGAAGTCCACGAGTCATGAAGGAGCCATAGTTCCTCCATGCTGGCTCAGGAATTCTGGGAGATAAAGTCCACGAGTCATAAAAGAGCCAAGGTTGCCTACCCCTGGCCTAGTCCATTGTTTCTCCACCTCAGCAACTTTAAGACGTGTGGACTCCAACTCCCAGAATTCCTGAGCCAGCCACGCTGAGGGGAAAGGGAGAGGTTTCTAAGCTGAGCCATGCTGGCTCAGGAATTCTGGGAGTTGAAGTCAACAAGTCATGAAGGGGCCATAGTTCCCCCTTGCTGGCTGAGGGATTCTGGGAGTTGAAGTCCACTAGTCATGAGGGGACCATAGTTCCCCCCTGCTGGCTCAGGAATTATGGGAGTTGAAGTCCAGAAGTCATGAAAGGGCCATAGTTCCCCCATGCTGGCTTTGGAATTCTGGGAGTTGAAGTCCACGAGTCATAAAAGAGCCAAGGTTGCCTATCCCTGGCCTAGTCCATTGTTTCTCCACCTCAGCAACTTTAAGACGTGTGGACTCCAACTCCCAGAATTCCTGAGCCAGCCACGCTGAGGGGAAAGGGAGAGGTTCCCAAGCTGAGCCAGGCTGGCTGAGGAATTCTGGGAGTTGAAGTCCACCAGTCATAAAAGAGCCAAGGTTGCCTACCCCTGCTCTACACAGTGTATTTTTCAAGGAAAGTCCTCAGAAATCCTTCTTCCTTGCTGTCTCAACTATCTCGTGATAGAGAGGCACGTTTTGGAATCTCCAACTTCTCTACAAGGTAGTAGATTCCAGAGGTCAACCGTGGTCAACACGACCCAAAATCAGGTGGAAGCAGGAGAAACAGCTGGTGTGATTCCAACACACACACACACTTTTTCTGTGTCTCCTCCTAGCACGTTTTTTTTAAAACAACAACAACAACAACACAATTCTGTGACAATTTGGAGAGAATATTTAGATTGTCCCATACGCTCCCAGGTCTGCTCAACAAAAAAGGACTTATTCCTTACAGACCCTCCCAAGATTTAAAATACAAGCAGTCCCTGACTTACAACCTGACGGTTCGAAGTTACAACAGCGACAAAAACAGCAACTTACGACGGTCGTTCCCACTTGTGACCAGGGCCACGTGATCAACATCCAGAGGCTCGGCAACTGGATGTTGATCACGTGATCCCCTTTTGCGACCTGACAAGCCAAGCCAGATTCGCTTAACGACCGTGTGACTTACACAACTGCAGGGACTCTCTTAACAACTGTAGCGAGAGAGGTCGTAACACGGGGCAAAACTCACTCAACAAAGGTTTCACTTAGCCAACAGAGATCTGGGCTCAATTTTGGCGTATCAGCTGAGGACTGCCTGTTAATGCGATGTTCCAGAGGTGCCCAGAGGATCTGCCATTTGCAAACGACCGAGATGAATAAGAGTTGAGAAAATCACCATCTCCCTGGCTTTAATTGCAGACCAGGTTTCTAGGAACACGGCCTGATGGCGGCTTGACGCATGAGCTCTGTCCTACATTCCCAACACCCTCCAACAGCCCCATCACCCCAGCAGCCCATGAGAAAACATAAGCAGGAAAGAGACACAATCTCTCCTTTTATTTAACCAGTTGGGAGGAGGAGGAGGAGGAGGAGGAGGAGGAGGAGGAGGAGGAAGACTATGGAGGGCCTGGATGCTTTCTGAGCTGGGTGGTTTTCTTGCAGACATTTCATGACCCAACATCATCGGTGCTAGAAGAGAGGGGGGTTTGCAGAGAGGAGGAGGAGGAGGAGAACTGTGGGATCCTTGGTGCTCTCTGAGCTGGATAGTTTTCTTGCAGACATTTCATTACCCAACTAAATAACATAATCAGTGTTGAAAAGAAGTGGGATTTGTCGAGTGGAGAAAGAGAAGGACTGTGGGGTCCTTGGTGCTCTCTGAGCTGGGTGGTTTTCTTGCAGACATTTCATGACCCAACTAGGGAACCTCATCAATGCTGGAAGGAGAGGAGGGTTTGAGGAGAGGAAGAGGAGGAGGAAGGAAGGAAGGAAGGAAGGGAGGGAGGCAGGGAGGGAGGGAGGGAGGGAGAAGGAAGGAAGGAAGGAAGGAAGGAAGGAAGGAAGGAAGGAAGGAAGGAAGGAAGGAAGGAAGGAAGGAAGGAAGGAAGTATGGATGGATTGTGGGGTCCTTGGTGCTCTCTGAGCTGGGTGGTTTTCTTGCAGACGTTTCATGACCCAACTAGGGAACCTCATCAGTGCTGGAAGGAGAGGAGGGTTTGAGGAGAGGAAGAGGAGGAGGAGGAAGGAAGGAAGGAAGGAAGGAAGGAAGGAAGGAAGGAAGGAAGGAAGGAAGGAAGGAAGGAAGGATTGTGGGATCCTTGGTGCTCTCTGAGCTGGGTGGTTTTCTTGCAGATGTTTCAGGACCCAACTAGGGAACATCATCAGTGCTGGAAGGGAGGGAGTTTGGGAGGAGGAAGAGGAGGAAGAGGAGGAGGAGGAGGAGGAAGAGGGCTGTGGGGGTCCTGGGTATTCTCTGAGATGGGTGTTTTTCTTGTAGATGTTTCAGGACCCAACTAGGGAACATCATCAGTGCTAGAAGGGAGGGGGGTCTATGGGGAGGAGGAGGAAGAGGAGAAGGGGGGACGAGGAGGAAGACTACTACTATAGGAACCTTGGTGCTCTCTGAGTTTGGTTTTCTTGCAGATGTTTCAGGACCCAGCTAGGTCAACCCTTCGGTGAAGAAGCAGGGAACAACACCAGACAAACCAGCCAAGCAGAAAACAACCCTCTAATCAAGAACTACCAAGGATAAAAAACACACACACACACACACATCCCCGCAACTCTGGCAGGGTAAGCAACAGGACTGCTTCTCTGCCAAAGCCAGCTGTCCTCGCCTCCTTCCTTCTGGGGACCCCCTTACCCAACCAGACCCAACTCTTCCCCTGCCCCCCCCCCCAAAGCTGACTTACCGTCCAGGTGGCCGACTTCGCAGTGCTGGACTGTTGAAATGAGACATCGAAGCTGTGGGGCCCTGGATAGTCTGTGTTGGAGGGGATGGCCGGAGACGGAGAAAGGGCATCGAAGGTGGAGCTGGGCTGGGCGTAGGGCGACGGGGCCGTGACACTGTTCTGGGCGTGCTCTGTGTTGTACGGACTGGTGGAGGAAGACCCGTTCTGGATCTGCTGGTCCATGCTGTTCAGGAGCCCCAGGTTGGTGTACTGTGGCTAGGAGGAAAGAGAGGAGACAAAGGTGCAAATCAGTTACTAGGCCTTGGGTTTTCCCTATGAGACAAGGAACAACCTGGGACGACATGCAAAGGCAGGGGGGGGGGTCAGCTTCTAATAAAGAAGGCGCCAAGAGAAGAGAATCTTTGCAACTCAAGAGTCCTGGGTGCTCTCTGAGCTGGGTGGTTTTCTTGCAGACGTTTCATGACCCAACTAGGGAATGCCATCAGTGCTAGAAGGGAGAGGGGTTTGCAGAAAGGAGGAGGAGGAGGAGGAGGAGGAGGAGAACTGTAGGATCCTTGGTGCTGAGTTTGGTGGCTTTCTTGAAGATGTTTCATGACCCAACTGGGGAACAGTGCTGGTTGGGAGAGGGGTTTGTGGAAAGGAGGAGGAGGAGGAAGAGGAGGAGGAGGAGGAGGAGGAGGAGGAGGAGGAGGAGGAGGAGGAGGAGGAGGAGGAAGGGAGGGAGGAGGACAATGACTGTGGATTCCTTGGTGCTGAGTCTGGTGGTTTTCTTGCAGACGTTTCATGACCCAACTAGGGAACACCATCAGTGCTGGAAGGGAGAGCGGTTTGCGGAGAGGAGGGGGCAGAGGAGGACTGTGGGGTCCTTGGGGGTCTCTGAACTGGGTGGTTTTCTTGCAGACCTTTCATGACCCAACTAGGTAAAAGCGTCAGTGCTAGAAGGGAGGGGAGTTTGCAGAGAGGAGGAGGAGGAGGAGGAGGAGGAGGAAGAGGAGGAGGAGGAGGAGGAGGAGGAGGAGGACGATGACGACTGTGGGGTCCCTGGGGCTCTAGGTAAGCTCTTCAGTGAATAAGCAGGGATTAACACCAACCAAACCAACGATCAAGGAGAAAACAGCACTCTAGTCAAGGAATGACAACGGGGAAACTACACCCTCCAAAAGGTTGGCAGCGCAAGCAACTCGGTGTAAGTAAACCCCATCCTCCCTTGGACTGATGAAGCTACCTGGGGGGAGGGTCATGAAACATCCCAGCTCAGAGAGCACCAAGGACCCCACAATCGAGAAAGAACCCCATCCACAAGGCAGAGGGGGTCAAATTGTTCTCCAAAGCACCAGAGGGAAGGACGAGAAACAACGGATGGAAACTAAGCGAGGAGAGAAGCAACCTGGAATTAAGGAGAAACCTCCTGACAGTGAGGACAATTCACCCAGCGGAGCAGCTTGCCACCAGAAGCGGTGAATGCTCCAACACTGGAGGCTTTTAAGAAGAGACTGGACAATTACCTGTCTGAGAGGATATAGGTTCTCCTGCTTGAGCAGGGGGCTGGACTAGAAGACCTCCAAGGTCCCTTCCAGCTCTATTATTCTGTTATATTTGTTATTCTATTCTATTCTATTCTATTCTATTCTATTCTATTCTGTCCCTTATTCTATTCTATTCTATTCTATTCTATTCTTCCTTCCTTCTCCTTTCCTTTTTCCTTCCTTCCTTCCTTCCTTCCTTCCTTCCTTCCTTCCTTCCTTCCTTCCTTCCTTCCTTCCACCTCCTCAATCAAATCCACCCCTCCTGACAAATTCCAGAGTTTGCAATCAATGTCATTTCAGCTCCGGGCTAAATGCGCGGGGTCCCTGCTTTCCCCATTCCAAGCAGAAAAAGCAACTTCTCCGGCAGATTCGCCTTTATTTTCACGGAGGCGAAGCGAAAACCTCGGCGACATCTGAAGGCAGGTACGCACACGTCGCCGGGATCCCTCAAAATGCACAATAGAATTCAAGACGCACAATAGGCTCGTGGCCTTCCCAGCAAAGCTCGAATGCAAGATAAGAACCACGGCCATTCACAACAGGGGAAGTTCAGCCGTCACAGTTTTCTTAGCTTTGGTATGTAATTTCACAACGCGGGAGACAAAAATCCCCCCTTTCAAAGAGGAGCTGAATGGAATGCACCGGCGTTGCGTTGAAAAAGTTCCATTTTATTTCCACGTTTTGTCTCTCGACGTTGGTCTAGGCCTCGCCAACACACAAAGGCGCTTACATAAGGTTTGCAAAGGGTTTGTAAACCTCAGTCAAAACGTTGGCATCACGATGAAAAAGGAGATTTTTCTTGCCCTAATTTGTCCGGGCATTTTTGGCCCGCTATTCATCACATCCGACAGACAGGCTTAAAGGAAGGAATCTCCAAATTCTTTCAATAAAGCCAAGCTGGAGCGTAATTTTGCCTTGTTCTTGTTAGTTTCGAATTTGTGTCTGACCCATCACGACCCCATGGACAATGTTCCTCCAGGCCTTCCTGTCCTCTGCCATCTTCTGGAGTCCACTGAAGCTCACGCCTCCTGCTTCCGTGACTCCATCCAGCCATCTCCTTCTCTGTCGTCCCCTTCTTCTCTTGCCCTCCATCTTTCCCAGCATCAGGCTCTTCTCCAGGGAGTCCTTCCTTCTTCTCATTAGGTGGCCAAAGGACTTGGGTTTCCACTTCAGGATCTGGCCTTCTCAAGAGCAGTCGGGGTGGATCTCCTCCAGGACTGACCGGTTGGATCGCCTTGCAGTCCAGGGGACTCGCAGGAGTCTTCTCCAGCACCAGAGTTCAAAGGCCTCCATTCTTTGTCGTTCAGCCTTTCTTATGGTCCAACTTTCACAGCCGTACATTGCAACTGGAAAACCAGTTGAGTATGTGTACTTTTGTTGGCAGGGTGATGTCTCTGCTTTTTAGTATACTGTCTAGATTTGCCATAGCTTTCCTCCCCAGGAGCAAGCGTCTTTTCATTTCTGTGGTGATCTTGGAGCCCAGGAAGATAAAATCTGTCACTACCTCCCTTTCTTCCCCATCTATTTGCCAGGAATTGAGAGGGCCGGATACCATGATCTTGATTTTCTTAATGCTAAATCTAATACACACGTTTAATAACGGACAATATTTGCGAAGTGTGGGGTCCTTGGTGCTCTCCGAGCTGGGTGGTTTCCTTACAGTTTCATGACCCATCTAGGGAACATCGTCAGTACTGGATGGGAGGGGGGGTTGGAGAGGAGGAGGAGGAGGAGGAGGAGGAGGAGGAGGAGGAGGAGGAGGAGGAGGAAAAAAACTGTGGGGTCCTTGGTGCTCTCTGAGCTGGGTGGTTTTCTTGCAGACGTTTCATGACCCAACTAGGCAACATCATCAGGGTTACAAGGCAGTGGGGTTTGCAGAGAGGAGGAGGAGGAGGAAGGAGGAGGACAATTGTGGGACCCTTGGTGTTTTCTGAGCTGGGTGGTTTCCTTGCAGACGTTTCACGACCCAGCTAGCGAACGCCATCAGCCACCACGAGAACCCAAGCAGGCTTTTGGCCAACCTTCCCCCCCCCCCCTAGAAACGGCACCCACTGCCTCTCTTTTCGGACTTTCCCAAACTCCTCCACCCACCGCAGCCGGGAGCCCCCCTCCTTCATCTCTGCCCCCTTAAGCCCCCCACCACTTCCCCCACCCAGGCATCCTCAAAAGAGAGAGAGAGAGAGACCCACCAAGGCATCCCAAAGCAGCCCAGCAGAAAACAAACCATCCAGGAGGCGGCATTCCAGGCGCGCCTCCGGGCCATCTGTCTCACTGTGTGTGTTTGTGTGTCTGTGTGTGTCTGTGTGTGGGGGGCGGTGGGCCATTCCTCCCTGCACATCCCAGGCCCTTCGCCCGGCCAAACACCGCCACCTCCTCCTCCTCCTTGCTATTTAAATAGCCATTAATCCCCTGCTTGACATGAGCAGCTGAGAGGCGTCTTCCGTGGCTGGTCCTCTGATCTTCTAACCCTTCTCCCCACTCCCCCCCAGGTGCTCCCACCCCCCCACCCACCTTCCCGGACAGGTGCAGCCCAAATCCAGGTGATTGGAGGTGCCTTAAGACACCCCTGCTGTGTGTGTGGGAGGGTAAAGGCTGAGCCTGCGGCCAGGAATGCATGAGGAGCTGCTGGTGACCAAGGGTCACCGTCTGTCTGAAGCCTCTCCTGTCCTCCACCATCAGAGCCTGGGGTGGGGTGGGGGCAAGGGGGGGGGTCACCCACGTGCGCCTGCCAACCAGGAAACAATCCAAGGGGGGCAGCTCACTCCCCAACCCCTGGGGGCGAAAAGCCGCTGTGGAATTTGGCCGGCTGGCCTTGCCTGCCCCCCCCCCAAGCCAAGCCAGGTTGGTCTCCTTCACCTTTCCACAACCACAACAAAGGAGCCCTTACACAACCCTCAAGCTACGGGGGGGGGGGAAGGGGTGTAGGGGTGTGGGGGGGAACAGGGGTGAGTCCCAACGCTGAAGCCACATCTCACTCCAGCACCTCTGCTCACTCCTCTGGGCATCGTAAGGAATGGCAGGATAGCCGAGCTGGAAGGGACCTCGGAGGTCTTCTAGTCCAACCCCCTGCTCAAGCAGGAGACCCTTACGGAATCCTGGAATAACAAAGGGACCTCAGAGGTCTTCTGGTCAAGCAAGAGACCCTATACCATTCTAGACAAGCGGTTGTCCAATCTCTTCTTAGAAACCTCCCGTGATGGAGCATTCACAATTTCAAGTGGCAAGCCGTTCCTTTGGTTAATTCTCGTCATTGTCAGGAAGTTTCTCCTTAGTTCTAGGTTGTTTCTCCTCTCCTTGGTGAGTTTCCATCCGTTGCTTCTTGTCCTGCCTTTGGTTGTTTTGGAGAAGAGCTTGACTCCCTCTTCTTTGGGGCAGCCCCTGAGATACTGGAACACTGCTATCATGTCCCCCCTCGTCTTAACTGAGTAACAGAGTGGAAAGGATCTTGAGATCATCTAGTCTAACCCCCTGCTCAGGCAGGAAACAAATGGCTGTCCAGTCTCTTCTTAAAAACTTCCAGTGTTGGAGCATTCACCGCTTCTGGAGGCAGGTTGTTCCACTGGTTAATTGTTCTAACTGTCAGGAAGTTTCTCCTTAGTTCCAGGTTGCTTCTCTCCTTGATCAGTTTCCATCCGTTGCTTCTTGTCCTGCCTTCAGGCACTTTGGAAAATAGCTTGACTCCTTCTTCTTTGGGGCAGCCCCTGAGAGATTGGAACGCTGCTATCCTGT